TTAGAGAATTATCAAAACCTTGAACAAAATATACAAAGAATATTGCTTGAGAATCAGTTCCTTGTTCGGAAGAATGAGAACGATTGTCACTTAACGGCAAAATGAAAGATACTTTACTTATGTTCTCACCACAACGCCACAAAAACGAAAACGAAATTTCAGACATGCGCACTCCGAAGAAAAGGTGAAATATGACTTCCGGTCATTCTCGTCTTCGTCCGTGACGAAGCTGCTTAAGGTCTCTATTGATAGCAGCAGCACCAGTTGGAGCCATTAAAGCAACAGTTGGTCTATCTGGATTCACAGTTCCATATCTAAAGGTCTTAACTGCTGTATAATAAATTGCTCTGATAACGATACATGTTTCGAAGAAAAATGTCCCTTTATGTGAGCTCTGCCCGAAAAAGATGTCTCAACGTGAAGAAAATGCTAGAATAAACACAACAGATGATTTGGAACAATTTGGCCACAAACTGTGGCAGTTTTAATTAAATCAATTATAAGTAAGTGATAACAAAGAGCGGAATATCTGAACTTATCAACCGATAATGTCAACGTGGGGTGACAAAAACGCCACAAGCCACAAACTGTGGCTGAAGCCCCACAAAAACGAACAGACACGACAAATACAAATGAAAGAAAGAATAAAAATGCAAAGGTCACGTAATGGAGGGAAAGCAACTCTACACAAAAATCCATGAAGACTGCAGCCCATGTCTGAACAGTCCCATGTGACTAAAATCAAAGAGAGAATGCAATCCAAAATGGCAGCCACTTGTCTGAACCCCCTGGAAAGCATTCAACTCATCGAGATAAGTAACATGAATTACCTGAAGTTATAAAGAGGAAGTTGGCAAAAAACACTAAAACATTTAATATAACGGCAGAAAGCCTGCAAAAAAGCAGCCACTAGTCTGAACTGTGTTGGCAAGCAAAACGCTGTTTATCAAGACATAAACTCTAAAAGCGCTGTAGCGAATACACGTACACGAGGTCAATGGCAGCCACCTGTCTGACCCACTTGACAAACGTGACAAAACAGTGCTAAAACTAGAAAAACATGCAAACTGAAATAATGGAAAAACCAGCATGACAACAACTTCGCAGCCCTTGACTGAACAAAGTGGCGCCCAAGACTGTAATGGTCTATCAATTAGTGGTAAGAATTTCTGAATGTAAATAAATTTTAAATGCATCCGATTTCCAGCGGCCAAGAGCACGAATTTGGGCATCAGAAAAACCATTGACGGCAGCATGACAAGCACCACCAATGCAAAAACTATGGCTTTTAGAGCGGCTAAGATCGAGACCACAGTACGTTAAACACTTCTGAAGTTCTGTGTTGAATTGATGTAAAGACACAGGCGAAAAATCAGTGTTACAGAAAAGTGGACCTGACCGATCGCCGCAAAGCCTAGTATACTGCAAGAGAGCAGTAACTGGGCAGAGAGAAGGAACGTCTTCTAGAGCAAGCAAAATGTTAAATGGCCTTTTGGAAGGGTTGTGTTTGTATTCGGAAATGCTAATTTTCGCAATATGGGGCAGGCCATTACAAGTGAAAAAGGTCAAGCTGTGATATTGAACAACTGATGAGCCCAAATGCGTGCTCTTGACAACAAGTTTGCCAATGCGAAATAGACCATAGAAAGCAACTAAAAATATTGTCCCAAAAAGAGAACATTGCCATGCCGAAGAGTTGGTGAAATCCAGAGACCGAACGTTGATGTAAGACAGGCTTCGTGACGGGAAGACGAATGTCTGCAGCTCGTTGCCGACTTAATGCTGTCAACAATTTTTGAATTAAGAACGATTTGGTGGGGTCACGTAAGCCCTTTAATTTGTGTACATAAGAAATAGCCGAAAGGTAGGAGTTTATTGTAGAGTATGCCATCTTCCGAAAAGAGAGGTAAGAAATGAAAAGTGGAATACAATTTGGAACTAAAGGTAAAATGGGATTTTCAGACCCATAAAAACGACAATAAAATTGGTGGAAAACAGCCCAAGCGCGTTGATATTGACGCCTGGAGCTATCTGTCAATGCACTCCCTAAGAGGCCTCTTAAATTAGAAACCAACTCTCCGGCATCAGGTTCTCGGGAACTGGAGTGGGGAAGTCGTCTGCTTCCAGTGATAATTCTTTGAACTTCACAACCTGGAAACATGAAAGATAGTCGGCATGAGAATTGATCAACCCCGGAATATGGTGAGCTCGAAACAGAATATGGTGCTAAGGCAGCTTAAAACTAAATCCCTGTGGAGAACCATAATAGATGCGTCCTTACATGTCTGCTTATTAATAATGTCAACAACAGGGGCATTGTCGCTAAAAAACAATACACACTTATCAACCATCAATGAACCCCAAATGTGAATTGCAATGACGATTGGAAAAAGCTCTAATACAGCGATATTGTAGGTCTTCCAAGAGGCCGGCCAAAGACCATGCAACCAACGATTGCCAAACACAGCTCCAAACCTGATGGAACCAGCTGAGTCGGTATAAAGTTTAAGCATGTCTGATGTCTCCCAGGCGTCATCAAGAAAAAACGATTTGCCATTAAAATCTGTTAAAAATCTAAGCCAAAGTGCGATGTCCAGCTTTGCGCCTTTTGAAAGACGAATATGATGATGGGGCTTGCAAACACCTTTCGTAAGATCGATTAAGCAACACATAAACCGCCCGACCGGGTACGACGACAAGACACGTGAAATTGAGTAAGCCTATGAGTGATTGAAGCTCTTTTCAGATCTACAAGCGAGAAAAACAGTCATTATCTGGCGACATTTAGCCAGCTTATTGTCTGGAAGTCGCGCCTCCATGTGAGCGGAGTCCAAAATTATTCCTGCAAACTGCAAAACTGAATCCGGACCTACTGTTTTCTCGGGGGCGAGAGGAACGCCAATATATTCGCACAAAGAAACAAAATTCCACAAGTTGGCTGTGCATTGGTCTTTGGTTGGCGCAATGAAGAGAAAATCATCTAAAATGTGTAAGATGGACTTAGCTCCGAGATGGTGAATAGAAATCCACTCAAGTGCCGTCAATACAGCTTCGAATATAGCACAGCTCGAACTCAATCCCATCAGCAAAGTCCTATCAAAATAATACAAGTTTTCCCACTTCAAACCTAACAGGGAATAATCAGCAGGGTGAATAGGAATTATGCGAAATGCAGACTTAACATCTGTTTTGGCCATGAAACAACCCCGCCCTAAGCGCTTAATCCACTTGGATGCATCACCGACAGACGCATATTTCACTGTGGAGTAAATGTCAGGAATGAAGTCGTTGACCGAAGCACCCTCGGGGTAAGATAAGTGATGAATGAGACGACATTCGAATGGATCTTTTTTGGGTACAATGCCTAAAGGGGATGTACGAAAATTAGGAAAGGGCGGGGTTGTAAAAGGACCAACAATTCTCCCAGCCGCGCATTCCCTACTTAACTTGGCTTTAACTAAATTAGGTTGATCTATAACGCTTTTAAGATTAGGAGATTCGTAAGACAGCCGTTCATCAACAAAATGAACTCGAAAACCAAAACGAAAACCGTCAATAAGATAAGAAGCTAACGCAGAGTCATAGCCGTGCAGAAAAAATTTAAGACGATCCACTTTTACCGGGGTAACCGGGGAACTGTGTAGAACCCAGTGCTTGAGTCGGGCCTCCTTTGCCCTTACCTCCGAAATGGGGTGAGTTTGCTTGAATGGTACATCGACTGCCTGGGTGTTTTGCTCCA